AAAAATATATAAAAAAGATCATAGAACAGATCTGCATGGATTGGTGAATATTGTTAAATTCTACAAATACTGAATTGAATCAACTTAATTGGCTGGGTGAAAATGTATTACAGTATTGCCACAAGTAGCAGTTAAAAACAAAATATAATAGTCAATACATAACAAGCAGTAAAAAATAATAAAAGCATAAATACACCTTAAGTCACTATTTAGTTGACATACAATCAGCAGATTACTGCTTAATTAATGCAACAGTGAAACCAAACACTATCAGTATATATAGCAGATCACTGCTTACTAGATATGGTGGAGAGTACAACGGTATAAATCCGTTTACTCACAGTCAGGCTTTCCCGCACTGGGAGATGTCTCCTATGCTGGAGGATTGCTAATCGTCTGCGGGGTGCCTTTTTGTGGTTGTCCGGATAGCGTCCAATAAGTGTCCGTTTTCAGTTCCATAGTTTGGCGCTGAACACCGCTGGCCGTTCGGGAGGTAAAATGGCCGCTGCCACGTGTTCGGCAGATGAACAAAGGCCACCCAGCGTTTATCAATTAAGCTGCGGTTAACCGCAGCTTCTAGGTGGTCAATTGACGGCACACTCCAATTCCCAGGTGGTCCATTGTTCGGTAGTTTGTTCGGTAGATTGAATCTCCCGAACACCACAGCAGAAAGGCACGAATAAACCTGTCAGTAGGGGAAATAACAGGGCTGAACTGCAGGGCCATAGTCTAAAGGGAGCAGGCGAGCAACCAGGCTTCTCCAGTGCATAGTGGCGAGGTTGGTTCCGCCACAGTCTCTGCCCCTGAGTGTGTGTCAAATCACTGATTGTGTCTGTCACTGAGTGTATTGTCAGTGCCACCTGCGTGAGTACATGATTTTTGGGCAGGCTGTAGTCAGAGACAAGTAAAAAAAATGTTTTTCCCCTGCAGTTGTTATCCTTAATGTGTAATGTAATTACTGTTTTTAAACCTAGGGATTTTTCTTTTTTTTTTAATCAGAGTATATCTAATGAACTTGTGTGTGTGTAGGTGGGGTGGGGGAATGTAGCCCATTTTGAAGCATCACAATAGCAAACATGATTGTTTCTTCTGATTCCATTTTGTGCTATTTTTGTCATTGTATGTGCACACAGATTTTTAAAAAAATTTTTTATAGGTATCTCCTATTGACACCAGAATCTTCAAGCCTTTGCACATATTTTTATTTTCAGGACTCACAAGGTGAGCTTGTTTTGAAGGTTTCTAGGTATAATTAAGTCAACCACAGGAACGCCTTCTGTATTGTAGTCAACCACAACAACATCTACTGTATTATATTCAACCACACCAACGCATGCTGAACCACACCAAATATCCCTTTATTATACAAAGCCAGATCAGCCTTTGTTGCACTGTGCTCAATAACAATAACTTCCTTCACACTATACAAAATAATATTAAACACTAATATTGTGACAGTGAACTATTCCATTCTAAGCTTAACATTTTATTATTAAAATTGTTTGCAGTGAACATGTTTACACTGGCAGTTTTACAAAATGTCTGTCTTCATTACATCCAAAAGGAAAATCTCTCTGCCCTATCATTCCAAATGCCCTATCAGTACAATCCATCTTCCCTAAGGCAACTAATAGAATCTTCTACTACACCAAACAAAACAACCTTATTAAACTATAAAATACTAAACAACTTCTCAACAAATCAATGTATCCCTTCTCTGCAATAATCTAACCTACACAAGCCAACAAAAAAAACTCCTAAATTTATCCAACTAAGCAATGTATTTGCCAAAACACGTTATTTTGCACTACAACCAACATAAACAACATCAAGCAATCACAAAAACCTATCACATACAATAGCATCGTCTTTTCATGCGCTAAAACCAAGCAAAGCAACCAACCAAAACCAAATTGTGCACCATGAAGAATCAAAACAACCTTTTGTAATAAATGCCAAACGTTAAAACTATTTTTAGTATACCCAACCAAAATAATTACAGGCGGCCGGCTGGCTAGGGGTGAGCGGAGGCGGTAAGGAACTGTAAACCTCCTGTGCTGCTGCCTTGCGTCCTTTAGTGATGCTGGAAGCAGTCACTCTGGCCCGACATCTCTAAGCAGCACTTTAGGGAGTAGAGTAGGGAAATGATCCACTGGACCCCAGGAGAAGGATCCAATCCAGCTCTTCCAAAGGTAGGGAGGCTGGGTGGACACATTAAAATAAAATAATTTGTGCGTGTGTGAGAAAATGTGTGTGTGTGTTGCAGTATCAGTATGTGTGACTGTCACTGAGTGTGTGTGTGTCAAATCAGTGAGTGTGTGTGCCTGTCAGTAAGTGTCTGCTTAGGTAACCGGCCCCCTTCCAATCAAATGAAAAAGGTATTTTTACTCACCTTTTTTTCCTCACACATGCCAGCTTTGCTGCAGCTGGTCCTGCTTCAGGGCCGGACTGGCCCACCGGGATACTGGGAAATTTCCCGGTGGGCCGTCGGCTCCTGGGGCCGGGCAGACACCTGGGTCTGCTGTCGGCCGCTGGGGAGGTCTTCTGGCGGCCGCTGGAGGACTTGTCCTGGCGGCCGCTGGGGGGAGCTGCGCTGGCTCTGCTCCCCAGCGCGCAGCTGAATGAGACCGGCGCCGGAATATGACGTCATATTCCGGCGCCGGTCTCATTCAGCAGCGCGCGAGGGCGGGAGAGCACAGACAGCGCAGCTCCCCCAGCGGCCGCCAGGACAAGTCCTCCAGCGGCCGCCAGCAGACCTCCCCCTGGTGTCAGGTACTAGTAATGTGTCTGTCTGTGTTATGGTGTCTGTCTGTCTGTATGGTGTGTGTCTGTCTGTCCGTGTCATGGTGTCTGTCTGTATGGTGTGTGTGTGTGTGTGTCTGTCTGTCTGTTGTGTGTGTTTGTCTGTCCGTGTCATGGTGTCTGTCTGTATGTATGGTGTGTGTGTGTGTCTGTCCGTGTCATGGTGTCTGTCTGTATGGTGTGTGTGTGTGTCTGTCTGTATGGTGTGTGTGTGTGTCTGTCTGTCTGTGTCATTGTGTGTGTGTGTCTGTCTGTCTGTGTCATAGTGTCTGTCTGTATGTGTGTGTGTCTGTCTGTCCGTCATGGTGTGTGTGTGTGTCTGTCCGTCATGGGGTGTGTGTGTGTCTGTCTGTCCGTCATGGGGTGTGTGTGTGTGTCTGTCTGTCTGTCATGGTGTGTGTGTGTGTGTCTGTCTGTCATGGGGGGTGTGTGTGTGTGTGTCTGTCCGTCATAGGGTGTGTGTGTGTGTGTCTGTCCGTCCATCATGGGGTGTGTGTGTGTGTCTGTCTGTCCGTCAAGGGGTGTGTGTGTGTCTGTCCGTCATGGGGTGTGTGTGTCTGTCTGTGTCATGGTCTGTCATGCTGTGTGTGTGTCTGTGTCTGTCATGGGGTGTGTATCTGTCATGGTATATGTGTGTTTCTGTGTCTGTCATGGTGTAAATATGTGTTTAAAAATAGTGTTTTTGCTCACCTTTTTTTTTTTCCCACGCAGCGTGCTGATCTCCCCTCGACTGGCCCTGCCTCTATAGCTGAGATTATCAAGCTTGATGATCTCAGCCAATCCAATGCTTTGCCATAGGATTGGCTGCAAAACGCCACTCCAATCAGCATCTCCTCATAGAGATGCATTGAATCAATGTATCTCTATGGGGAACGTTCAGCACCTACAGAGTGTGGAGGCCCTGAATGTAGGTGCACTAACACAGGAAGCACCTCTAGTGACCGTCTGAGTGACTGTCACTAGCAGTGTCACTTTGAAGCAATGTAAACACTGCCTTTTGTCTGAAAAGTCAGTGTTTGCGTTGAAAAGCCTGTAGGGACATGCAATAGACACCAGTACCACCACATTAAGCTGTGTGTGTGCGTCTGCTAGTGAGTGAGCTTGCTTGCATGCGTGTGCCTGCTAGTGAGTGAGCTTGTGTTTTTATGTCAATGAGCTGATGTATATCAGTAAGATTGTTTGTCTATGAGGCTGTGTATCAATGAGCTTGTGTGTGTCATTGAGATGTCAGTGAAATTGCCTGTGTCTGCATGTGAGTATGCTTACTGTATAATTAAACGTTTTACCCTGAAAGGACCAATATTTTATATTAGAAAAAGCAACATATATATATATATATATATATATATATATATATATATTACTCAATCATCTGTCCTGGCAAGACATAGCCTTACATATTACACACGACAATATATGGCACAGTGACTTATGGGGATGGCACAAATTTTTTTTCCAGGGCTGCTTTGTATCCCTAGTCCGGCCCTGTCCTGCTTCCATGGCTGAGATCATCTATCTTTATAATCACCGCCAATCTAATACTTTCCAATTGGAAAGTATTGGAAGGCTTTTGCGCAGGCTCAGCAAAATGCCACACTGCACAAATCAGCATCTCCTAGAGATGAATTAAATCAGTGCATATTTATGAGGAGCATTAAGCATCTCCATGCAGAGAATGGAGATGCTGAACTTAGGTATGTTATTGCGCATGTGCGGTAAAATGTCATGCTCTGCCAATCAGCCTCTTTTCATAGAAATTCATTAAACCATGCAGATGGTGGAGACGCTGAGCATAGGTGCTGTACACTGTGCAACACTGACCCAGGACGCACCTCTAGAAGCCATATTAATGACTGTCACTTGAGGTTTTACTAGACAGCGATGTAAACACGGCCTTTTCCATGTAAAGGCAGTCTTTATATTGAATTGCGTGCAGGAACAGGCTATAGACACCAAAACAACTACATTAAGCTGTAGTGGCTCTGTTGACTATAGTGTCCCATTAAGAATTCTACTTTTGACATTGAAAAGCCTGGTTCCTAACTTTTTTTTAGCTGGCTCCCAGCAAATTTGTCAAGCTCTGCACTTCACACAATATGAACACCCTGTCTCTATAATTGGCAATAATAATCCTGGAAGACCTGTAGTCACCAAACTCTAAGGCGCTCCCTGCTCCCCAATCCAACACAAGGCACATAAATAAGAATAATGAATATAATAACTGGACATTGCTGGCCTAACAACATCTAAAAACATATTTATATTTGACAACTGCATGTGTACTGATGTGTGTATAGACATATTTCTACTTGTAATGTATTGTATTTGAATCTGTGAGTACAGTGAGTGTATGTAGCTGGGTAAATGCATGCAGGGTTGGTTATTAGAGGTTTAGGGTAAAAAGGGGGTAAAGGTTCGAAAGGGGTTAATGTCAGAGTTGGATTCTGTAGGGTGTATAGTGTTAATTACAATTCAGGAGTGGTTAAAGTTGTTAGATTAAATTTAGTATTGGGGTACATGAGGTATTTAGTTTTTAAGTGCAGTTAAACCAAAAATGAAAGTAAACGATTGATTTCAAGTTTAGGCTTTTAGTGCTGGAGTTTGAAGGGTTATTTGTAAAGTACTCAAACCTGTTATTCTTCTGTAAACCAGTCAAAGTCCTGTGATTGACATTAGAGCTGCGGGAGTTGTTACACAGTGTTCATCACTCAGAGCCTCTCCTGCATTGCATTTCACTGGAGGTGATGGGACAGCACTAAGTTTTACTGTTTCTGCAGGTCTGCTATTATGGCAAACTGGACTTCAGAGGACACTGACCAAGGTTCCTTGTACTTATCTCTCCCCAGCAGTCTATTTAAGCTATAAAATGTGCGTTATAAGTGCTGAAACTAGGCACCCCTAGTTGTCAGGCATCTGCCTACTGAGGCAGTGTGTAGGCTCAGGCAGGTTATACTGATGCAGTTTGTCGGCTCAGACAGGATATACTGAGGCAGTGTGTATGCTCAGACAGGTTATAATGAGGCAGTGTGTAGGCTCAGGCAGGTTATACTGAGGCAGTGTGTATGCTCAGACAGGATATACTGAGGCAGTGTGTATGCTCAGACAGGTTATACTGAGGCAGTGTGTATGCTCAGACAGGTTATACTGAGGCAGTGTGTAGGCTCAGTCAGGTTATACTGAGGGAGTGTATAGTTTCAGGCAGGTTATACATGTGCAGGTTGTGCACTGATACTCTGCAGAGTAGGATTTAAGGTGGTTTTCATAACACTGACTATATTCTCAGATTCCCATAGAAAAAGTTCTGGGGTGCATATTTTTAGAAAAAGCATGAGACCAATCCCTGTGTTTATATCTGAGTCTGCATCAGAGAGTTTATCTCTCCTTTTCCTCTATGACCCGAGAGTCGAGTGATCTGACCCCCAAAAGCAATAAAGAAAAGTGCTCAGAAAACACAGCTTCACCCACTGTTTGCTCTCCAAACATTTCTCTGTTTTCTAAATTTTGGTGCTGAGTCTGTTCCTGGACGGACTAAATCTGACCTCGCACACAGGGAAAAAGCTGCCGGCTCTGCTAACAAACACCTCACCCTGTCACCTGCCCATTACAAGGCAAAAGATGGCAAACAGCATCTTTCTACCTGTTCACCTCTCCTCAATATAGTAAACTAAATACAGATTTTTAAAAATTATTTTTCTCAGGGCTGATTAGTTTAAAGGGACACTATAAATCACTAGAACAACTACGGCTTAATTTCAGAGAAAAGGAAGTGTTTACATTGCCCCTAGGGACACCTCCAAGTGGCCCCTCCTCAAATGGCCACTTCCTGGGTCAATGCTGCGAAAATAAGGTGAGTTCTAATTCCTTTTAAGTTTGCTAAGGGGGGAGGGGTTTAACACTATAGGGTCAGTAATACATGTTTGTGTTCCTGACCCTATATAGTGTTCCTTTAGGGGGAAAAACTAAACTAAAATTTAACTGTATAGGACACTTATCAGGGACAGAAAAATGTTTAAAGGAAAACTCCTACCCATATGACAATTTTATCTCAATTAAGATGTTACAGGGGAAGGGGTGCCTTTGTGCCATCATATCTTCAGAGTTTAAGCTGGTTTCAAATTTTGACCTGAAATCAGTCCCCTAGCACTCAACAGCTCTGCCTTCTCTATTCCTTCCCCTTCTGTCCTGGCATTCAAAAATAGGCGGAGAGTGCCAGGTGATGCTCTTAGCCCATCACAGAGCAATAGTACTAAATGTATTTGTTTGTATGGCCAAAACTGGGTGAGCTAAGTGCATGTATGGACACCTTTTGATATTGTACTGGCGGACACTAACACAGCCCTTCCAGAAAGAAAATAGAAAGTCAAGATTATACTGGAGAGAGCTCAAGTTTGATGCATCTCTCCCATGTATCACCTGTTACAAGTTCGATCTGGCCATTCTATTACTGCCTTTGCCAAAATGCAACCAGGGTAAGTCTGAGTGCTTTGTTTTTAGTGTCACTTTTTGGATACCTATTCTGATTTTGGACCTTATGCCAATTGTAAAATCCCGCAGGCATCTCTGATCCTTATGTATTGTAAGGCTGAAAATGTATACATTTAATGCAATGAGCTGCAATGCTCCTCCTTCTGCGTGATCTGTAGGAATGGATAAGGAAGAGCATGTGCGGCCGCCATCCAGTAACATGATCTATGATTTAAATGTTAATCACAGTAAAGCTGGCAGACCAATACATTATCCACGCTGATGTGATGACTTTGCTCTGATTAATGCTTTAAGTGTTCCTGTACATATACAGGTGTGAGGTGGAGAGAGGAAACTAATTATGGTTTGTTTGTTTTTTCTGATAAATCTGTCAGCCTGTCTCAGGCTTTTGTTGCAGCATACAAAGCACTCCCTGCACAATGCTTGAATGAGTTAGTGCTGGTGGTTGATGCACAGGTCTGCACAAAACCTACTCCGCTTTTAATTGCTAGTGTCCACTCTATTATTGAACACAATTCTTGATGGCCCCAGATATAAGCTGAAAAGCCACTAGTAATCTTAAACTACTGCTTTCATAGAGCACTGAGGATCCTCTAAAGTTGATTCAAGCCTGAAATTTGTTCGGACTAAAGTCTCTATTCCCAGTGGCTGGTGGGTGAGTGAACATGTTGAGAGCTGAGATATATATTAATTGGTCTTTAAACACACATGACTTCTGCTGTACATGTTCTCTATTGGCAGTACACCCTCTAGAGGTGCTATGTGAAGTCACTGTTTATACTTCCTGAATTACAGTGCAAAGTGTTTCTCTTTCTGTATAGCTGCAAAGTTAGTTTAACTTTGAGATCAAGAGATAGTAATTCAATTATTTTGTCTGAAACTGTTAAATTTGGGACTGTTGGCAAATATGTGTAGGTGGTCTGAGAAGCCTTTCAAATCTCCTTTGAAAACACAATTTAGGATTATTTAAAAAGTACATGCATAATTTGGGAAATATACTTTTGCATACTTTTGTAAAACATTGTGAACGTTCTACTTTAACTCCTTAAGGACCAAACTTCTGGAATAAAAGGGAATCATGACATGTCACACGTCATGTGTCCTTAAGGGGTTTAAAAAAAAAAAAAAAAGGCGGTCATGTCCACGGTGCTGTATGCCTTTAAATATGTCACTTAACATTAAATAATTTACAATATATTTACATGAATTGCTTGAAATTAATATTCTTCCATAGGCAGGCCACATTTGCAAGGATGTGCACATTAGCAAATAAGTTTGCCTGCTGCAGGTTGGAAAGAATATCATTTGTAAATTATAGACTTGCACATATAGATGTTTTTAAATAAAACAGCTCTAATGATTAACATAATTAACAGTAGATGAAAAATCTTATTAAATTATTTTAAATGGACATTATAGTCACCAAAACAACTTTTGCTTAATGAAGCAGTTTTGGTGTATAGATCATGCCCCTGCAGTCTAACTGCTCAATTATCTGCCATTTAAGAATTAACTCACATTGTTTATATAGCCCTAGCCACACTTCATTGCATGTGACTTGCACATCTTTCCTAAACACTTCCTGTAAAGAGACCTCTAATGTTTATAACTTTTATTAAAGATTCTGTTTCATTTAGAATTTCTTATGTCCTGCACTGTTAATAGCTTACTAAATCTTGCGGGAGCCTACTGTATGTGAGCAAAGTTAAATTTACGGAGCAGAAGATAAAAACTTTTAAAGTAAGTTAACAATATGATTGAAAATGAAACCATTTTCTTTCATGCATGCTCTGTCTGTCACAGCCCGGGGAAGTGTGGCTAGGGCTGCATGGACACAACCAAAAGTGATCTAACTCCTAAATGGCACAGAATTGCACAGTGAGACTTTAATGGCATGGTCTATACACAAAAGCTGCTTCATTAAGCTAAAGTTGTTTGGTGACTAAAGTGCCCCGTTTTCAACATTTGTATTGTATACTTTTAGTAGTCCATACTTTGTCTTATAGAATCTTTTGGTTGCTTTGAAATTACAAAGAAATTCCAGCACAGTCAATATTAATATTTCATAAAGAAGTGTCAAAGCTGATTTGATGCAATGGGCATTGATCGTTCATTACACTATTACAAATATTAATATAGTACCACATATTCCACAGTGCTTTACAACAGGTAAAACGACAAACAGTGAATTCTAACAAAACACATTGGACATACAGGAACAATAGGTGATGAGTGCCCTGTCCAAATCAGCTTGCAATCTAAATCTGTCTGTTTTATGAAATTTACATTTGCCACAACTGCTCTCTGCCACAAGTATATTTTTTTCTTCAGAATTTGGCAACTTAACCACTTTCTGCACCTGTCAGATGTTCCAAACACTGGTGTCTGGCACTAAATACTCGGTCAGGACGGTGAATTTCACACCTGCGCTGTGTTTGGATCCCATTACCAGCTTTATCTAATGAAAACTGAATTAAGCCTTTCTTGGATTAACAGAAATTCCTCTCATGATGAGAATAAAACAAATGAAATCCAATGTCAGTAAAATGAAATAAACCAAGGAGAGTTTAAGAAACAGAGAGAGGTGGAAGGTAGAAATCTTGGTAATATAAAAATCCTCATTAGGACATTGGAATAGTGGTTACAATAATATATTTAACAAGGTTTTCTGAATTTACAAAGTAAAGTCCTCATGCCAGTTCCAGCTTATTAAAAGGAACAGACAGGCCATTTTACCAGACATCTCATTGGATTTCTGACCCTTATTGCTGATATATTAATGTACAAATTTTTGATATTTTGTTTTTCTGTGAAGCACTTACATTTTTCTCCAGTACTGTACAATAGGTCTATTAACAAAATGTATGGATTGATGATGAGACAAAGTATAATTCTACAAAAAGCGAAGGAGAGTCCTGCCAGAGAGCCTCAAATCTTTCATTCAAATACCTTTATACAAGGCACAGGGGAAGATGTCCCCTGTACTTAAATGACATTATTGTGAGTAAGATAAAAAGGTAGCAGGGCAGGTACAGTTTGGAATCCACAATATTGGCAATGAAGCCAGCATGTCAGCGTCACAGAGGAGATGGGGGTTCCCAAGCAGGGCAAGACAAAGTAGAGAATGAGCAGAGGATGGATGTTACAGAAGGGTAACACCCAGACATGACCAAAGGTATATATTCCCAGCTGTTCTACAACAGCTGGGGAACAAACATTTACCCACCATTCTTTATATAATGGTTTCATAACTTATAACCTACACCTATTGTCAACCTTATATTAACCCCTTAAGGACCAAACTTCTGGAATAAAAGGGAATCATGACATGTCACACATGTCATGTGTCCTTAAGGGGTTAAAATTGATAATAATAGTGACATTGGGCATACAGCAGAATAGAAAACATAGAAACATAGAATGTGACGGCAGATAAGAACCATTCTTATGTCTGTCCAATAGAATTGAAAAATGTTTGAGCTTATGGTTTAATAAGACATTACAGGCACTTTAATACCGTAAAAAATATTCTGTACTGTTTCTGTACTTTGTTGTGCTCCATCCGCCACAGATTTAAAGAAATCTCAACAATCCTGTTCATGGCATCCCATCATAAAAGTAGCCAGGCTACCTATGAAAGTCTTTTGTATATCTCTCTACCCTAGGGCCACTATAACCTAGTCAACACCCCAGCTCGGTCTTCTCTCTTGCCTTTTTCTTGCTGATATTGACACTTAAAAATAAAAAATAATAAAATAAAAAAGTATTTCCTTTAAGGATTGCCTTCTACTGTTTACATGATCTTCTACTGTCCAGCTTTTATTAGGTGTCTCCTTACCTTATCATGTGTTCTAATATCAACTCTTCCTTTCACCCCAAAATAACCTAATAATAATACTGCAAGATAGAATTCAGCAAAAATAGGAAATTCTATCTGATTCTGTCTGCTGATGAGAATCAATACAAAACCTACAAATCACATTATGCAAACCTCAGTAAATAAAGGCTACACAAATCAAGTCCACAAATAGAGTACGTATTTAAAAGGAATGCATAGGCTCTGATTCCACACAAAAAAAACAATCCCAATACACTAATATCTCATTTATAGGGTGCGTAATCATTGGCTTAATCAGTATTTGTTCTACTCTTACCCAGAGCAGTAAGTGTTCCTTTATAATGGTGCTCAAAAATACAGATAACATTACAACCTTACAAGAGATTTGAAAATACCATTGTAAGGTTGAGGTTACCTATTTTTGGGGGCACCTTAATAAAGGAATATGTGTTAAAATGAATGAACCAACTGCTTAAAACCCTAAAATTTTTAAAGATTTAGGCACTAAAACCACGGGACAATTACAGGTAGTAAAACATAATTCAATTGTTTTCCAGACTATTCTACTTTTTCCCATTATTTCACCCTCATAAACCAAGTCCATTTTTTCCCATGGCTCATTTTGTTGATGAGACATCTGCCAAACATGTAAATGATCTATCTACACACTGTTAAATTCCAAGGACATTACTGTATTATTATATACTTGACCTGTCTGTAATCTGTGTTACTTTGGACCACCCAGATCTACTTCACACTTTCCACTTCCCCGGTGTTCAGAAAAGAAGCACTTTGCTGGCTTTCTTCCCACTTTTACTGCTTCTGTTTTTAACTTCACATCCTCATCCATTAAACTGTCTGTTGGATTCCCCGAGGACCAAGATATTTTTAATGAACTTCCAAGTATCCATATTGAGTCAGTCTTTCTTGACTACACACAATAAACATCATATTAATGTACAAAAGGTGAGGATAAATATTACTCCTGTGTATATGTATAGAATTTGCAACACTTGGCTCTACTCATGAAAGATCAAATGTTTAGCACTAATCTGAATACATAAAGCACAACTTTAGTCTTCTTTCTGATCCTGTCTCAAAGATAAACTTACTCTTGAGAAGTTGACTGATGATTTCCTCCAAGTAAAATAACAGCAGTTTTAAACTGTGTAGACTGTCAACGTTATTCAATAAATTTAAATTTTCATTTTTTTTCTCCAATAAATTAAATTTGAATAGCAACACTGAGGCTAAAATAGCTATGTTTTGAATAAGTTGGAAACATTTTCAAATCAGCTATTTTTGTCTCAGCTTTGACATTTGGATTTAATTTGCAAAGATTCATAGTTTAGGGAATAACTGAATAAATGTTTTTCTTCACAAGCAAAGGGAAGTACTACAAGAAACGTCCCACTAAAATTCACCTTTACATTTTACATTTTGCTAGTCAGATAAGGATATTGTTAAGGCATACAGCTCCGTAAAGGACCACTATAGTGCCAGGAAAACATACTTAGGGTCCCCCTCCCGCCGGGCTCTGGGAAGAGGAAGGGGTTAAAATCGTACCTTTCTCCAGCGCCGGGCGGGGAGCTCTCCTCCTCCTCTCCGCTTCCAATCCTCCTCTTCAGCTGAATGCGCATGCGCGGCAGGAGCTGCGCGCGCATTCAGCCAGTCTCATAGTCTTCAGCCAGTCTCATTTTCACAGTGAAAAGCACACAAACGCCTCTAGTGGCTGTCAATGAGACAGCCACTAGAGGCTTTAGAGACTGGATTAACCCATTTATAAACATAGCAGTTTCTCTGAAACTGCTATGTTTATAAAAAAAAAAAGGGTTAATCCTAGAGGGACCTGGCACCCAGACCACTTCATTAAGCTGAAGTGGTCTGGGTGCCTAGAGTGGTCCTTTAACCTGCTACTGGACTCTACTTTCATATACTTCCTCTGGAATCAATTTAAATCTTTTGTCATTATAGGATTAGGTTCAACACAGAGAATTAAGTCAGACCTCACAAGGTAGAATAGAAAACGGAAAGGTAAGTATTACCAGTCCTCCCTGGCAGTCTGATTATGTCCATATTTTTGAATGTTAAAGCGGTACATTGTTTTGTATGTAAATTAGTTGTTTCATATTGCAGGTTTGTAATTCTTAGGAATAACTTACTTAAATCTGTCCAAACAAGAGTCTAGTAGAACTCCCGGGTATGATAAAGTTTGAAACGCAAAATCATAAATTATAATGTAATACATAATTATAAAAAATAATAAATATAATAATGTAATCAAACCAAAAACACTGAAATTTGTCCAATCAAGTGTGCAATGTTACTAGTCACTGTAATACTAGACACTGCATATTGGTTTAGTAAACATCCCGGGTATGAAATATTTTGAAACATGGGACTGCACAAAGTCCGACGTCACAATCAGGACAATGGAATCTGGTTTCCTTTCTGATTTTCTGTCATCTCGCTTTGAGCAACAAACCACGCACATCCTTGCGGGTGCTGACTTTTTCTCGGTTGATGGGATGTAGTCCACGAAGTGACGACCAGCCAGGCGTTCCGGGTTGACAACACCAACAGCACAACGTCCAACTCTATTCACAGCCATGGTGTGATGGTGTTTGGTGGTTCACAAAGATACGTTCAGCAACTTTCCAAATGAAGTCAAAATGAATCACAGGCTTATCACTCTTTTTTTATTTTTGAACAGAATGTGGGCATTTCACAAGTATTGCTCAAGAATAGTACTTCTATTCCTGTTTCCTCATTGCTGGGTAGAATGTCATTGCTTGGTAAGCTCTGTCGACACCTCCCATTATTGTAGTCTACCACTACTTGTGGCTTCATGATTTCTTTCCCACCTTTCGTGCATACTATTACAGTGGAGGTATTATGAACTGTACTCATTAAGCACACATCTTTCTTGTCATGCCATCGCAGTGCCATCATTTTGCCTTTTAACCAGGCAACCATTTCTCCAGTCTTCAGCTTCTTAGTGCCAAATATTGGCGTCATGCCGCGCCGGTTAGCCCTAACGGTTCCATAGGCATCTGTTTTGTTTTGCAGAAGAAACTCAGAAAGTTCAGGAAATATATAAAAGTTGTCGGTTACGTAGTTACATAGTTTGTTGTCTATAACAATTCCCAAGTCCTTTTCATGTGTTGTTTTCCGTAATTCATTTCCATTAATGGTATACGTTGCTTGTGCATTCTTTATGCCAAAGTGCATAACTTTGCATTTTTCAACATTTAATTTCATCTGCCGTTTGAGTGCCCAGTCCCCCAGTCTATCTAAATCCCTCTGCAGCAAAGTAATATCTTGCTCACATTGTATCACTTTACAGAGTTTTGTGTCATCTGCAAACACTGAAAAATGACTGTCAATGCTTTTATCAAGATCATTTATAAACATGTTAAATAGAAGGGGCCCCAAAACAGACTGTCCAGCTTGAATATTTACCATTAATGACAACTCTTCGTACTCTATATTTAAGCCAATGTTCTACCCAAGAACAAGCATTTTCATCTGGACCGATTTCCTTGAGTTTGAACACTAATCTATTGTGTGGAACTGTATCAAATGCCTTGGCAAAAGCCAAATAGATCACATCCACGGCAACACCCTGATCTATACTTCTACTTACTTCTTCGTAGAACGCAATCAAGTTAGTTTGACATGACCTGTGCTTCATAAAACCATGCTGATTTTTGCTGATAACCATGTTCTTCTGAAGGAATTCTTTAATATTATCCCTTAATAACCTTTCAAATATTTTCCCAGCCACAGAAGTTAAGCTCAGAGGTCTATAATTTCCAGACAAGGATTTTGAACCCTTTTTGAATATATGAACCACATCTGCCTTCCTCCAATCCTCCGGAACACTTCCTGAAAGAAAAGAATCTTGAAAGATTTAAAACAGAGGTTGTTACGCAATAGCCCTGATTTAGCAATGGCTCAATGAGTGAAAGAACGGAAGATGTTGTCATTCCATTGTTGCTGTATTTTGGATTGAATTTTGTTCCTTTTCCAGTGTAAATGACTGAATTCCAAATGCAGTGACGATTCGCATAGCATGTAGGATTTTATGCCAAATCGTGATCTCTTTGATGCAATGAATTGTACCCAGCTGAGCCTTCCCTTGTAGGCCATTAGACTTTTATCTATGCTGATATCTCTTTCTGGCACATAGCTCTGTTGGAAATTCTTTAGAATCATTTGAGATACTTTCCAAATTTCCTTTAGTTTTGGTGCAGGATGAGTAGTTTCATCAAATTCTTTGTTATCGAAGTGCAAATATTTCATGATAAGGGAAAATCTGTACTCTGACATGACCGTACCAAAGAATGGAGTGGCAAGTAATTTATTAGTTGTCCTATACCACTTCTGCAGGGGTTACCCACCACTCCTTGAAGTATTATTAGTCCCACAAATTTACAAATTTCATCTTTGGTCACTGGTTCCCACTTTCTGCTTCTTGAAAACTTCCGATGCAGAGTAGCTAATTGTTGCTCAGTAACTATTTTTTCAATAACCTCATCGGTCAGAAATAATTATAAGTGTGCCAAGGGGTTGTTGTGTTCAACATCTACTTTCATACCAGATGCTCCAGCAGATGGGAATCTTGGGGGCACTGCCTGATCCGTACCACAGTCAATAGAGCACCAAGTTCGCACATCACTGAGCTCAGTTGCAGAATTGTCGCTGTCGTCACTTTCAGTGTCTAATGACAAATTTTCCTATGAATCACTATCGCTCAATTCTGCAAGTGATTCTAATTCACTATCGCTGTTTTCTAGCTGGTCTAAAACCACTTTTGACCTAAAGGGACACTTTCCATGGATGCCATGGAAGTTCTCAAGTTTCCAGGGAGAAAGAATGGTAAAAGTGCAGACAGGACACTGGACAAAGCACTGGGACAAAACTGAGGTGAAATGGTTAGATACAATAATGTAAACCTAACAGATTACAATGTATTATGTGTGTGTACTTTTAAAAAATTATTTCCCGCCTGGTTCGGCCACCCTGCGACCGCCAAGGGAACCTGGAAGACGGAGGCCGGTATCGGATGGAGGACTCTGCGGGAGGACACAAGGGGCTCGTAGGAACCAGGTAAGTGATACTACAGTGTAATCCTGAGCGTGGCTCGGGGTTACCGCTTTTGGTACTGAAAATGAAGGTTAACATATAAATAGATAGCAGTCAATAAACAAGCCAAGGTCAGGGATTGCAGATGTACAGAATAACAAGAGACTAGGCAAGGTCAGGGATATAGAAGCATAATAGTCCAGACAAACCAAAAATCAGGATATCAAATGATATGCAAATAAATACGCTTTCAGATTTCCACAGGGTAAACCACGACACCGCAAACGTCAAGAAGCAAGTGGGAGCTTAAATAGCCCTATGTCTGTTGGGACAGGCATGCGTTACTCTTGCTATAACAAAAGACGAGTGGACCATAGTAGAAATAGTACAGGTGTATCTGTGTCGGAAATGAGTTGTGGTGTTTTTGACTCATAAATATATGGGAGCTTGGAGCAAGTTGCGTCCATAATGACACCAGATTGCCAGGAGATAGGTTGCAAAGTACATGATAATGAAGAGCTAAAACAGGCACCCGGGTGGAGGATTTCATTATTCTCCACCCGGGCCTATTAAAAAAAAAAACAAATCGAGGCAGCGGGGGCAGGGCTTAATGAGTGGCCGATATGGAGGCAGGGTTAATACCTTTATCGAAGCCCCTGGTAACTGCTGCACAGGAAGAAGGAAGTGTGTGTGTGACTGTCTTTGTGACTGCCTGCCTGTGTGTGATCGTCTGTCTGTGTGTGTGTGTGACTGGCTGCCTGCCTGTGACTGTCTGTTTGTGTGACTGCCTTCCTGTGTGTGTGTGTGACTGTCTGCCTGTGTTTGTGACTGCCTGCCTGTGTGTGACTGTCTGTGTGTGACTGCCTGTGTGTGTGTGTGACTGCCTGCCTGTGTGTGTGTCTGCCTGCCTATGTGTGTGTGTGTCTGCCTGCCTGTGTGTGTGTGTCTGCCTGCCTGTGTGTGACTGTCTGTGTGTGAGTGACTGTTTGTGTGATTGCCTGCCTGTGTGTGGCTGTCTGCCTGCCTGCCTGTGTGTGTGACTGCCTGTGTGTGTGACTGTCTGTCTGACTGCCTGCCTGTGTGTGTGTCTGCCTGTGTGTGTATGACTGTCTGTCTGTGTGACTGCCTGCCTGTGTGTGTGACTGTCTGCCTGTGTGTGTCTGCCTGCCTGCCTGTGTGTGTGACTGCCTGTGTGTGTGTGTTTGTGTGTGTGTCTTTCTGCCTGCCTGTAACCAAGTGTGTATGACTGTCTGCTTGTAATGGAGTATGTGTGACTGTCTGCTTGTGACTGTGTGTGTGGCGGTGTGCCTGTATCTGTTCGTGATTGTGTGCCTGTAACTGTGTGTGACTGTCTGCCTTTAACTGTGTGTTTGGCTCTGTGACTGTCTGCCTGGAACTGAGCATGTGTGACTGTCTGTAAGTGTGTGTGTGACTGTCTGCCATTAACTGGGCGTGTCTGACTGTTTGCTTGTAACTGTTTGTGTGACTGTCTGCCTGTGCCTGTGTGTGACTGTATACAGGTAACTTGGTGGGGGGAGGGAGGGCGTCGTGAAGACTTTTCTCACAGGGCGCCTAATTGCCTAAGGCCTACCCTGCTTATCTTCAATAGTGGTAAAGGGCAAGATATGGAAATAGATAGCAAAGTCCTAAAATATAGCAATGCCAACCTTTTTTGCTTTTTGTTACAGCATTACAGTTCTGTAAAATGTCAGGCTACATTTTTAGTATTCACAACTATCAGATCTTCAGAACCGAATAAATGAATTGCAATTTAATTTCAACTTCTAGGTGTGGTTGTGTATACATGCTATAGTTACCACATTGTTTCATGGGGAATGCATGCCTTTTCAACTTTTTTTATTTTTTGTTCACCCTTTTCTTTTATGGTCTCTTCTTTTCCAAATCTCTCCTTACCTGTCTCCTTCACTGTCTCTGTATCACAGTCTCCCTCTGTGGTTTCTTTCTTTCTACAATAAAATTACTTTGAGGTTTTGAGAAAATTCCAAAAATGGAATCATAATATGAGCAACATACGATATAGCTGCTCCATTGTCTGTTTGAGTGCAGTATGGGTATGTAAGCAATAGAGGGCTAAAGGAGTACTGTTTAAACTGTGGATAAAAATGGGAAATTAATGACAGCATTTTTGGCTAACTTCTTTAAGTGCAAGTATTCATAACGAGCTCATATTCATTCTCATATTCAGTATTCATAACATCATGGCCAGACTTAACAACACTCAAGTTAATAAAGTTCAACTTTCCAGAAATTCACATGACTGCTGTTGATCCAAAACAAAATACAGACTAAAGAGCAACACACAGACAAAAAAAAACAAAAAACCTACAGTTTAAAAATTTACAAGGCTACTTAAAATAATCTATCTTTACAAATATGGGGATTCAGATATGAGGTTAAGCCCACCACTTCGCCACAGTACTTGAGTGTCAGTGGGTCCTACACTAATTTTAACATGGGAGATTAACATGCTTACTTTAATACTTACTGCTTAAACTGCTTCCC